ATTGGTGTCCTCTGCAAGAGAGCACTGATAGGGGGCTGGCTGTAAATTGACGTGGCATGGAAAAATCTCTGCTAGTTTGTAGCAGCTCTAACACTGCTGCGAAATCGAGCCAACTCTGACCCAAGTTTGTAGCTTGAAATCATCACGGGCTTACTGTTTCTATATTAAAAAAATGAATGGAAAGTACCTTTGCTTCTTGATTTGGGAACTGGACCTTTTCTGTATTTGGATTTACAGCTAATAGCAAACAAAATCAAAGGGAATTATTTGGTTACTTTTTTCACCGTAGTGAGAGCGGCAGATCTTGCTGCTCCCCCCAGCCTTTTCCTGCGATTTAATCACTTGCAGATCTTGCCATGGGGTGCGGACTGAGAAAGCTGGAAGACCCAGATGATAGCAGCCCTGGAAAAATCTTTTCTACGTTGAAGAGACCACAAGTTGAAACAAAGACGGATTCTGCTTATGAATATGTATTGCTGGATTTTACTCTAGAAGGTATCTTTTTATGTTCTATCTTTAGTGTTCTGAGAAAGCAAGGAACAGAATTTAACTTAGTTCTGTCTTGTTTGACTTACAGTAAATCGTAGATACTTTTATCAAAGCTAGTCAAAACATAAGACTTTTATTTTGAAACACAAATCATGACGAAGGTCCTCACTTAGATAAAATTACAGTGGAAACTACTGAAGTATTTTTAACAACCAAACCCTGCAAATTACACAACTGTCCTTGTTAAGGAAGCTGGCTAAAAACTGTTTCAGATTTTCCTACTTTCCTGTGAGTCAGATACTGCTGTCCATACTCACTTTGAATAATAGTCATCTGAATTCAGTGTGACTGTTCAGAAAATACAGTGTGCCTGAGCATTAATTGAATAACAGGGTTTTTTTTTTAAATGTCCTCAACTTCTGAATACAGGCTGTCATTGTCCTTGTTACTTTATGCAGAAGTAAGTCTGTTTCTTGAGTTGTATACAAGGAGTAGCTTCCCTTCTTATGCCCATCCCAGTCTCTTGGTAGCTATTTTAGTAAGAGTCTTACAGTTTCATCTTGCTGGGTTTTTTTTCAAATGCTTTACTTGTAGTTATTGAATAGTCTTTTGAAATCATGACCAAAATGAAACAAAATTTGTATGCGTAGCTAGAGGCAGACAGTGCTCTGTGGGATACTTCCTTCCCGAGGGTGTCCCGTCTCTAACAGAGCAACTCCCTGTTCCACAAAGTTGAAAACATAAACAAGCCCAGATGGCTGCCCTCTGAGAACAGACAGCTCAGTTTTTCAGTCACTTCATAGTAACTTGCATTTTATAACAACCCAATCTACTGGAAGTTCTTAATAACAAGGATTTGAAGTAAATGCAATAGCTAGAAGGGTTTGATGAAAGGAGAAAAGTGTAAGTGCATGTCTTGTTTATGAAAGAGGTCCTGAAAATGTTTCAAAACTTGGCCTCTGCTTAGTTTTAATTCTAAATTAAAGCACTGTATTAATAATTTTATTTAAAGCATGTTTGTTCATTGAAAAACTGCAAGATACTAATAAAAGCCACATTCTATTAAGTTACAGTACTTGACATACGACTGGTTTTGTTCCATTTACACATATAAAGAGTTTCTCACTGGCTTGTTCTTTTTGAAGAAACAAATCTTTGACTAAGTAGTACTGATAATGTACTGGAAGTAAAGCTAGGCTGCTTAATGCATACATAAATTACCTACTAATCTACTGATAATAGAAAGGATACTAAAACTTTTTTTTTTGAGACTGAAGAACTTTTAGTGTCCTTAAATAGTCTGTATTCTGAATAGTTTTGCTTTGTTTTAAAGTAACAAGATTCTGGAAGTGTTGTGTAAAGGATTTGTTGTAAAGGTGTTTGTGACTTTTCAGAAAAAGCCCATGAAACAAGTACAAATAAAGATGCATCTCTATTATTTTAATAACCTGTCACTACAGTAGTAAAGATTCATTTTCTCCGATTTAGTCTGATATTCAAAAGTGCTTAGCTCCAGTGACTTAGTGTGGAATTAAGAATACTAAATAAGTGAGATCAGTTTCAGATAGTTGTTTAACTTTTTTTTTTCAGTTTCTAGCTGTAAGCAAGTGGATTTGTAAACACAGGTATCTTTCTGTTGAATTCTTCTAGCTGTGTATGTATTTGACCTTAAAATATTTTTTGTTTGGGTTCTGTAATCTGTAAAGATAAGACTATCAATACAGGAAAAAAAATGGTGTGTATGCTGTTTTGCAGGCATTTCTGAATTTTGTTTGCTTATGAAACATGGGGATTGGCTGAAGTGCTGTAGGGAATGTGTTGGGCTTTTCCTTTTTTTTTTTTCCTTCTGCCCCAATCAACTCGCATACTTGTTGCTACTTGAATATACTTTGGCTAAATGAAACCTATGTGAGAGCCTTTTATCACTTTAGACCAAAGGCAGCTTTCACTCTGCTGTCAAGTTGTGTGTTATGTCTTCATGGCAGTTTGTGTCTGCTGATTTCCAGAGCAAGATCTTCCCCAACAGCTGAGATTTGTTTGCCCAAGTGACTCGTTACCACTGGATCTGGCACCAAGTGAAACAGAAAAACTGCACTTAGTATCCTTTATAAGATCCCACAGTAAGCTATGTCCTGCATTAAGAAAAAAGTACAGCAAGCATAAATGTATTATTTCAGTTTAATATGCTGTATTGTCTGCTTTGTCAGATTTATGCTATGTGAAGTTGAAATGGGCCTGTGGGGGAGACTTTCAGGAGTCCCTGATCTTCTCCCAAGGCATGATGCAGGTCAACCATTCTGTATTCTAAATTCATTGGCTGGAGCTCTTGTGCATCTTAACTTACCAGCAATGTATTGTACTTTGGTTTCTCCCCTTCTGGCTCCCAAAACAGTCCTATCCCTACTGTAAAAATCAGCTTTGAGTTCCATGGAGGTTCTTCTGCATCAGGAGAATCACAAACAAGAAAATTGCAGCCAGTCTCTTATTTTGGTGGGATTGAATAGTACAAAGGAAATGGAGCAATACACTCTGAGCTGTCATTTTAAATGCCTGTCAAGGACTGTAAATTCACAGCCTCAATTATGAGGCATATCTCAGTTACAAAAACAGCTGTTATTTTTTTAGGTCAATTTAACCATAAAGTAGGGATAGTTTAAATATTGAAGCAGAATGCTTATGCCTTTTCCACAACTCTCCTATTAGGGAAAAGAAGGGATATTTATGAATATCACAAGGGTATTTCATATCAGCCCACAAGATGACATGCTGTGAAGTTCTTGTCACTCTGAATAACAGTATGAATATGTATGAAGTAGCTGTTTTGTTGTCATTTTCAATATTGGGTGTCTGAAGTTTACTATACAACTAGCAAGATAGCTGTGGCTGTGTTACTGCTGACATCACATCAGGAAGGACACTTTCTCAATGAAAAATGGTTAAGTAATTTTCAAAACCAGAGAAGTGATGATGGCATTTCATGCAATCTTGTTTTTTTGGCTCATGGGCTGTAGAGCAGCTATTTCTTCAAAACATATCTAATGTCTCTTGGATTTATCATGAGTGGAATTATGGGATAGAGGTGCAAAATACCATCCATCCTCAAAAGGGAGGGCTGAGATGTGTTGGCTGTCTGCTTAGAAAAAACAACCCCAAAAAAACCCCACCAAAAAACAACAAATGACCAAGGTTGTACAGGAAAGTGTAACAGCCCTGTTCCTATTGCTGAGAATGGCAGAGTTTACATTAATAGATTGAGTTTGCTAGTTCTCAGCAATAAACTGTCAATATATATGTTAGTGATGCTTTTTGGTAGTGTGCGCTTCACATGGGACACATCATTCTGGTTTCTCTTGGTAGTTTTTCTGAGCTGTTTCTAAAGTAAGAGACGAAGTAAGAGTTGGCATTTAAAAGCATTTAATTTGAGTGATGTAAAACATTAGTTTCGGGGGGTTTTTTGTTTTTTTTTTTTAAAAAAAGCCCTCTATGATGTATATATATTAGTATTAATCCTGTTTTATGGAGGGGAAAATAGTCTAGAGATTGGACTTTTACAGAACACATCAGTCATGAAACAGCAGAATTCTTTGATGAAAGCCCGTAAATTCTTTGCCTATCATCTATCTATAATATAGGGCAGGTAGGTAAGAAGATGTAAGAAGGTGAAATTAAGGAATACAGTAGCAAGTGAGATTGATATAACTGCATTCATCTGTTCTTTTTCTCTTTTATATATTTTTTTAAAATTGTAGAATTAGGGATGAATTACTGTATTTAATTTTGTCGTTTATTGTATGGTTTGAAAGAGAATGTTTAAAGCAGCATGTTAAAATGTTGATATCTCAAAAAAGTAAACAAACCTAACTAAAACATTGTGAGGTCACTTAATGCCAATTGAGGCATCCTTTCGTGCTGTTTACACTGGCCTTAATGCATGGAAAGTTTTGCAAAGAGTGGGACCTGTCAGAATATAGGAAAGAAGTACATCACTTGCAGCAAGGGTTGCTGATAGAGGCCGTCAAATTCCAAACCAAGCTGTCTGGGCATGATAGTTCATATATGCAAAAGTCTGACAGCAAGTATATGATGGCAAATTTACTCTTCAGTTACTGTCTGTATAAGAGTATTTATTTCCTGCTTAGTGGAGAGAGCTGTTATATTCCAGTTGGAGTTGAGGGGAACAGGAAATACTGACCATCAGACTGACTGTGGCAGAATATATTATCTGTGACCAGTGAGGAACCTGACTTTTCTCTGTGCAAAGACTGTGGATCAGACCATTCAAAAAAGGCTCTCCAAAAAGTTTTCTGTAGTTTCCAACAAGGGCTGTGTAGTGTCAAGCTGTTATGTATTGATTGGAAATGCTTGCACACAGAGGGATCTTCCTTAGAAATTAGGGACACTGTGTAGCTTACTTCAGTAATATTACTTAAGTATGCTGGAAAAAGGAGTTGGAAGTATGTTAAAAATTCAAGCTGCAATCCACAGATCACTCCTAAAGGGTCCAAAAAAACCCGTATTTAAGAAAAACAAATCAATTGTTATAGGCTTAAATTCATTGTATGGGAATTCACCTCTCAACGAGGGTTGAAGAATACTGCTTTAGTATGTTCAAGGCTTTGGCTAGACAAAACAGTTGCTTTGTTAATTTCAGACCTATTGTGTGTTTAGATGTTGATGCAACTCTTAAATTAGCTTGGCAAAGCTGGATTCAACAGAAAGTGTTGCCAAATAGATTAAAAATAGATTGTACTTGCTTGTAAAAATATATACTTCAACTAGTTCAATGCTTTGGAATCAGCTGTGAATGTGCTTTTTCTTGCATAAACAGAACTTTAACTTTTTAGTAAATGCCTTGGAATAGATCATGTGGTTTGTATAAAAGGAACTAACTCAAAAGTATATGGATATACATAGTAAAATGTGATTCTCTTCTGCATTCAATGCTTTTTAGCTTCCTCGAATCCAGAAGTTATCAAGATCAGTTCTGTGTTGGATATAGCATCTAAGGTGGAAGAATATTACAGCAAAGGATATGTTGTGGGAGCTGTTCATCCGATTATGCTGCCCATTGGACGCAGAAGGAATTTCCCGGCAAGTCACATGTATCGAGTGGTACTTTCACGATTAAAATTAAGGTAACAGTGACGTAATTTGACTGCACCAGTCTGTTACTTAATGCATTAGTAAGTGAATTGCTCAACGTGCATAATTTATTATCAACTTGAAACAGGCACTTCAAAGAATCAGATAACTGTTCCTTGTCTAGGAAAGTGAGCAACTTAGTAATGTTTTGTTTAATTAACACTAGGCACACAATAGACTACTGTTTAATTTGTCTTAGTAAATGTCCAAACAAAAATACAAAGTTGCTTATCATAATTTGTGGGAAGATAAATTGTTACAGTTTAACCATCTATTTTAAATACATTTTTATACTGAAGTATCATCTGCCTTAGAATCTGAAGCAAATACAAGATTAAACAAAACACTGGGAGAATAATAAGCTGCTTTAAATTCTCTTATGTCTGGGTGTTTTCTTAATTTGAAAAGCTTTTGTGTTGTCACTTTTCCCATAGGAGCATTATTCAGGGAAAATGACCTATAAAGTGTGAATTGCTTAGTTTATCAGAGATAAATAGTTTATTTTTCCTTCTTATTAAGAAGGAAATAAACATTCTGTGATTGGGAGGCATACAAAAGCTTGGGTTTGACACTGAGGGAGCATCAAGAGTTTGTTCAAGCTCCATAGTATTGTTTATTACTTTGGTTTTCACTGCATTGTAATCACCCTGTGATCATAAAGAAAATGGACGAAGATATTTTATCCTTAGTTCCTTTGAATGCAGAGAAGATAACTTTTTGTTCTTAATTTGAGTAACTAGAAAAGTAGATTTCTTATTGCATTAAGAACTGTCATGCTTCCCCCTTCTATCCTGACTCCTAGTGTGGGGCACTAAGGTTCTTTCATTTTCCTCTGGAAGACTGGAAGGGTGTGAGTTGGAAGCTGCCCTCTGCCACTCCAGTAATGCTTCTGTAAAACATCATTCATTTGAGGGACCTTCTCAGACACTTTGAAACAAGCATTGTCCATGGTGTTTGCTGCTCATACAACTTGCCTTCATAAATTCATCTGCAAACAAGATGAAGGTTGTCCATGTGGGCAAAGGCTTGAGGAAAAAAAGCAGAATATTTGCTCTCTGGAGCTGAGGCTTCTAAGGGCTGACAGTGCCAGCACACAGCTCCCACAACTCATCTTTAGGTCCTTGACTAGGTGAAGAAAAAGAATCTGCAGCCTACATGTGAAATTGAGTGTAGGCTCCCAGTTTCCTGCCGTACGTAGCTATGTTGGTTTTCCTATAGGCAAATGTGCCTTCTGTAGCTTCTGTCCAGAAAGTAACCTTTTGTAATTGAGTATGTCTCAGTGATGGTTCATTCTAAAGCAAAAGCTTGTGTGAAGGAAACATCAAATGACGTCCCATTATATTATTGATATATAACAAATATTTTGTCTGAGTAAGAGTCTTGAGATGAAACATGATGAATGCTGTCCTATGACTTCAAATGAAAGTTAAAGCTTGTCAGATTCTCAAATCTGAGTGACTTAAACGTTACCTAACCCAAAGGGATTGGTACTGTGGTGTTTTTCTAGTATTTGCCTGCGCTGTGTTTCGTACAAGAGCTGCAACTCAGCTGTAGTTACAAAAGCTAAAGAGCAGCTTGTTAACAGTATAGAAGTCCCACTTCTATTCAGTATGTTTTCTGTAAAACTGAATTTGTGATTTGCGCTTGCCATATCTATAGCTTAAATCTGTGGGTTTTGCATTATCAGAGATTTTGGGGTCTACTTATTACAAAAGCAGGACTGTTTGTCAATAAAGCTCAGTTTCCAAAAGATGTCTATTAACAGTCTTCAGATGAAATTCCTGTTAAATATTAATATTCTTACCCTGACATTGTAAGACACAGTACCTGTGACTTTGTGTAAGAAATGGAACAAAACACCAAAACCAGCTGAGTTCTAACTGAAAGTGTGAAGAAGTACTGCCAGGGTTTGGTTCATAACTATTCCAAAAGAAAAGAATTCTATATGCAAGCATTTCCCCAAGTTAGCAGCAAACTACTGACAAAGACTGCTTTCTTTCTGTGTTCTAGCCAGAAGCATGCAGCACCCAGAGGACAAAGGCACCCCAGGCTGGTGATTGAGGAATGTCCTTTAATGTATGAAACACTGACAAATGAGGTAGTGAAAGAACTGTTAGAAAAGGTAATGGACCGTTTTTTCAAACTTCTCTTCAGATTTTTATTTCTACCATACATGTGTTTTTTATAGTTTTGAATTTTAACCTTGGATTGTTTTATAGAAGCTACAAACATTTTTCTTGATACAAAAGGAGTTATTTTTCTTCATTAGTTATTTCTTTCTAATTTAGGACTTGGTACTGAGCTCTGTAAAGCTTTGGGAGACTGGCCACTTCCACTACTGAAAGCAGAATTGGGTCAAAACTCTGTCAGTCTTTATAAAATGCTTGTATGATAGCTCTTTCTGGAATTTTTCATATTTTTTTTTTTAAAGAAAATCTGAAGTTTATGTTGTTCTGTGTTAAGGACAATATTACCAATTAACATGAATATATTCCATTTCTAGGAAAGATTAGTTTTCTTTCTTTAACAGAAAAACAAAGTATACAGTAACTATATTAAATACATAGTTGGCACAGCTTTTGAAAGTAACGCATGGTCAAGGAAAACTACACTTCCACTGGAATGCAAGTTCTAGTTCTTTTTATGTTTAACTTCCTCTGCTAAACTGAAGACTTTCTGAAACAGGAAACTATTGTTATTACAAGACTTAATGATGTCTTTTACATTAGTTTTAAAGGAAAGAGGTAGAGGAGGAAAAAGCATGTTGGAGATATTTAATGGTCTTTGAAATTATCAGAGTTGTATAAAATTTCTAAGTGGCTTGTTTTGAAATTTTCAAGTGTTTCAAATTTAAAATTTACATGACACATTTATACTATATCTGTGTTTCCAGGTTGGTTGTATAGTATACCAAACAAACACTTAAAGGAAAAGTACACTTGAAAGTAGCAGTAACTGCCTTGCAAGCAAATCTGAAATGGAAGTAGTATGTGAAAATAATTTTATTTTTAAAGTGTTCCCAGTGTTTTAAAAATAGCAAGCCTGTAATCCAGTATAAAACTATATTTTTTTTTTTAAAGATCTGAACCCATAAAACTTTGTGGAGCTTCAGGAAAAAAAAAATTGCCTCCTCTTCTGCATGTTGCTTGTCACATTTAAAATTATTTTGGTTGTCTTAGAAACAGCAACTCTGTATAATCACTGTGATTGGCATATCATATCATCACTGTACATACATAATGTATAAGTGCTGTAACACTTCAGTCTTTCATGGTGCTAAAAAGGGATTGTAGTACCAATAGGTATTTGAGTGTTAATCACTCTGATTAATAGTTTGTGAGTTAACTGGTAGAGATCCTTTCCTTTCTGCCCTCATTATTCCAGTACTTCCCAGGCAATTTCTTCTTTTTTCCCTGGGGTTTCAGTATTTTCTTGGAAAGACTTTATTGCACAGGGGAGCTTGTAGCACAAGTTGCCAGTGGGATCACATTCCTAAATGGCAGCACTCCTTCTCCCAGAAATAAACCCTTTCTCCAAGGATAGACACATCCCACAGGTGGCACATATTCTGCAGTTGTATTTTAAGACTTCAATGCAGAGAAGACCCACCGCTGCCTAAAATCAGAGTTAAGATAGTTTTAGTTTGCTTTTAGCTCCCTTCTTTCTCTGCTCCTTCACTATTCTCAGTAATATTGAAGCTGAGTAGCCTCTGAGTGAACCAGGGGATAATGAATCATGACACATGACAATAGATATCTCTACTATTGTGTTCAGTAATTTTAGTATGACTGGTTTTCACATGTTTAGAGAAACAATGCTATTTATTGCACCTATATACCACTTATTGCAACACGGGTAATAAAATACTTCGGGTTTGTTCTAAATGAAGGATTTTGTTTATACTAAAGTCCGTACCAGTGTTGGCCACCTTTCTTGGCCTGAGTCCAAAGACATGCTGGAAGGCTTCCATTTACTTTGAAACATGGGCAGCATGCAAAGACAAGCCACCCTTCTATGGTGCAGTGTTGTGTCTTTATGGCCTTGAAAATCAGCAGTGTAGTTAAACAGAACATATGGAATTTAAAAAAAAAGAAATTCCGTGCAATTCTAAAATCACTTTGCAGATAAACTTCTTTTGCAAATACAGGTTAACGAAGCTGCTAAAAGAGGAAAGAAGTTTGTGGGATTTGTGACACAACATTTTCCTCATCCTAAAGCGTGTAATGGAACAAGCACAGATGGAAGTGCAGAGCTGGAATCGACGCTGGGCAAAAGAAATAAGGAACACAGAAGAAAAAATTCTGATGAAAACTATAAAAACTGGAATGAAGGGACACTGAGTGGTCACTCATCTGAGAGTGGGATAGAGGAGGAAATACAAGCAGAAAACAGCATGTTACAGGATGCAGATTTCCACTTTGGAAAAGAAGTCAGCCCTGTTAAACCACGAAAAGGAGACGGTAATAAATACTGCTTGGGTTTTTTTCAGAAATAAGGTATTTTATTGAGCTGTAGGTTTTAAAAGTTCTTGGAAAAAAGTAACAGAACAGTATGTTCTACTGCTTGAAATACTGGTTTTGGAAGATGCATCTTCCTTAAATACATATGTATTTTTTAAAAGGTGGTCAGTTGAGGAAACAGAAGAAATATTTACCTTCTGCTCTATGTATGTGTGAACTGTGCTAATATATTAAAATGACACTTCAGTTTTCATGCAGAATATTACAAATGTGCCATCAAAACTCTAATTTGTAATTTAAAAAGGAAAAAACCCAAACAAACCTCCCAAAAGCCCCCCCAGTGTAATTCTGATTTTAAATGTGCTACAAACAAATAGCTTTTTTTCTTGATATGTATATAACAAACACATGGCAGTAAAAATCTTTTAGAAGGATACAATTGTTTTTTAAACCTTTTCCTCATTTTCACTTACTGTTAATGTTAAAATCACAAATGTGAAATGGATTTCCAAGAATGTTATGATTCAAGTTCTTCTGCCTGTTTCAAAACTGACAACAGAGATCCCCTTCCAGCTAGAGCTGTGAGTTTACGTGCTTCTAGCCAACTCATGTAATGTACAGTAAACAAATCTGTTCATAATGGATTCTTTCTGGTTAATACGCCTTCAAGAAACATCCTGAAAGAGATCACTTAAATTAATGCATTGACCATGAAATCAAAGAGGATAATTGTTGCAAAGTGAATTCACCCTGAAGAAAAGTAAGCATTAAAAAGTTGTATAGGAAGGAAAAGTATCACTGAAAAACATTGGTGCTGTAGTAGAAAACTTAGTTGTAGAAGGATCTGAGATACTTAGTGTAGTCTGTGTGAGAGATTGCCTGCAACAGTGACTTGTAATACTGAAACACTAAGGCCTCTTGGTTTGCTAGGAAGAAAAAGTGAAAAGGAAGAAGTAATCTAAAGCGTGAGAATTAATGCAATGCAGTATTGTATAGAAAGAAGGCAGCATGAAACTTTCATGTCAGATTGCATTTTGACATAATAGGTTCTTTGCTGATGGGCCAGACGTGTTTTAATTGCTCTCAAAAGCAACCTTTTCACTTTCCTGTTAAGAGTTAAGCACCCTCTCCAGTTTGTAGACTGTCAGGATAATGACTTTAAGCACTGAGATAATCGATGTCTTATTTTTAACACTTGAATTAAAGCAGTTCTTGTACAACACGCTGAGCCTTTATAGCATGATCTGTTAAAGCTTAACTCTTTCCTTACAGCTTGAAACAGTGGGTTTGCTGTATGTAGCAGAATAGAAATGCTGCAAGTGAAAAAGTGGAAAACTCTTGGTTCTGTTAGGGAGCTGTGTGCAGGCTGGTGTGACTGGGTAGATCGGTCACCAGCGCATCCCCTACGTGCAGTGTTCTCAGGAAATTGTTCAAAAACCTTTGACAAGAATATGCCGGGCTTCTCTACTGCTAGTCGAAGACTCAGTAAAGTTATTGGAGTTCCTAAAACAAAACTTATGACAACCACCTTTCTTTGCAAATGTTGTGTGTAACCATGATTTTTAAAAAATACTGGTGTGTATTTTCAAAGAAAGTCTTACGTGCATGTAGGTGTGTACAGCCACTTTGGTGTGCCATTTTTATTTGGGTCTGCTCAAAAGATGCAAAATTGTGGCCGAGTTCTAGATTTGAAGGTCATAATGTACGCATTTTCACTGTAAAAGCACCCCTTGTGGATGCAAATTTCTGATACATGTGGGCAATTGAGTAGTTGTATTTGGGGAATACAACTTGTTGGGTTTTTTTCTTTTCCCTGAAGAACAAATATGAAGGTGGTCTCACTTTAGCACATGGGAAAGGAAATTAAAGTTTGTCAGGATAAACACACTTATGGCAATATAGCCACCTATGATGGTGGTAAAACTGTGTAGACAGGAGGGTCATCTCTTAATGATGAGAATTCAAACTCTTGTCCTGAATTTACCATATTCCAGGCACCTGATATTACTTGTGGTGAGTGCAGGAACAATTCTCAAAATAGAGAGTGGTTCTCCCAGAGACTGATTCAGACTAGTTACAGCCCAAATCCTACTTTGCAAATCTCCCTCTGTTTCTGGAGCCTAGAATTACTAGCATCTTAAGTGGGGTTGCCTAAACCAAGCTCCTTTGTTTTGGCAATGTGAATACTTCTGCTTTCTAGAGGTTTGGTTTTGTGTTGATTTAGGCTGCTCAGATGTTGAAGGATTAGACAATCTGAGAGCATATTTTGGCAACTGCTGTGTGTTATTTCTGCACAGCAGGGGCGAGTGTATTTGTAGAATGCATTTATATAGCTAGGACTTCATAACTTCTCACTAGTGATTTCCTAAAATGCTCTAGATCTGTGAATTTTAATTTTTGGTGAATGCTTGTATATGACTTGGTAACAGCATGATATTAATGCCTAGATCTAAAAGGCATTTGAGGATATGCAGTTCTGTGTGCTTAACTCGCATGCTCATCAGTTATTGTGTGGGAAACACCAGAAGGCAGCTAGTTATACTGGTACTGAAGTAATCTTCAGAAAATAATGGATAGAAATCAATACTGTACATGGCATTTCTAGTATTTAAAAATTTAGAAAACTGTCTTTAATCTTTTATACTAATTTCAAATATTTTAGTCCAAAGTTCCATGAGTAGCAGAAGTGAAGCCTGTTGCCACTGGATTTTTTTTCTTAGCTTTAGTATATTTTCTCTATGCAAAATCTACCTACCTAAAAGGTCCAGTAACAACCCAACTATAATACATTCAAATTTTTCTCATATCTCACAGTGTATGCACACACACCCCTTGTCCTGATTGTGTTCAGGGCTCAAGCTGTGTACAGTCACATCAGGAAACAATAAAACTGTTGATTAGAATTAGGAACCCAGATTGAAATAAGAAATTAATAATATTTTTATTTCAGAGCACTTATCTTCCAAAGGTTCATTCTTCTTCCTTTTTCTTTTCTTAGAGAAGCTCTATACAGTCTTCAATGTTTTTGATGATGATTCTACCTGCTGGACCTATCATGAAGGTGCTTTGTCTATGAAAGTAACAAGAAAGGGGCCAGTTATTAGTACACTGGAAGCAGACTGGCTAGAATTAACCACGTTTTACTATAAGCAAGGATTGTCCTTAATTGATTCTTTTGTACACTGGGAAACTTCTAAAGGTGAGTACTGTTCCAGAATATCATCAAGCTTTTACTTGTTTGTATAGAACTGCATAGTTTTTAAAAAGTAGGTCATGTTTTGGTTCTTGGTGTGAAGGGCAGTATGTAAACATGTTCAGATAGCTGTGGTAAATTTCTAGAATCTGGTACCAGGAAAGGGAATAACTTGTTTTCTGGGCAGTTATAGTTCTGAATAATTGAAATTTCTGCTTCGTTTTATCAAATTGAGGATTTCCAAAGCAGGAAACTAGTGTAGCATTGTGGTAAAATACAACTTTTGTGCTAGTTCTTTTTTCTTTGTGTAGTTGTTTTTTAAAGGAAAAGATAAAGGGGAAAAAAATTACTAGATACATGCTTCCCTGATGTTTGTCTTCTGCTGCTCACTTAGATACTGTGCTGCATTTTGTTGAATATTTCTAATTCTATTTCTAATGAGACAAAAGAGCAGCTTGAGTTCTCATAGTGCTCACTGTACTGCTAGACCTAAGTCAGACTTTCTGTGCTTCTTGCTTTCTCCAGCTCTTTGCTGGGCCTAAAAATTCTTTCCAAAATACTAAATTGCATTATAATTCAACTGTTGATGCTGAAGTTTCAGGATGTTTCTGCAAGTTCTTCTGATTAGATGTGGGCATATGCAGAGAGTAAAGAAATTTGGGGTTGTCCTTGCCCTCAACTGTTGGCAGATCCTACAGGATCTTTTCGCACAGGGAGAGAGGTCTTCCCTGACCCCTCCTGCTTCTTGCACTCTTGTGCAGGAATCTATCAGTTTAATTAATACTCAAGTTGCTCAATGATAGAGCTTTAGGCCCACAGAATTTTCAAATTTTCTTCATCTGCACTTTGGCAGAGCTGAGAGACAGTGCTGTACCACTGCTGACAGCAGGAGAAGCTGTTTACTGGCTGAAGTCTTTTTGAACTCCAAAACTGTGGTGTTGGTAAAATATGTAATTAAGAGATTCATTTCCATTTGAACTGAATTTGTCTGAAAGCCAGAAATTAGTAGTATTGCAAAAAATAGTGTGTAGCTACTGTTGTGCAATTGCTTGAAAACAATGTGAAGAAAATGTTAGTACTGTAGTGTTAGGGGAACAGACAGAGTCTGATGTAGTTAATTGTTTCAGAATTTATTAATTACTGTAATAAATGTTGTTTGATAGCAAACTTAGAGTTTATTCTTCACTAATGTGAAATTTTCTTTGGCTGTACTAAATTGTTGCTGGTTTTATAATTGCTTGTGGCAGTTCAATCTTAAGTAAGCAAAACACAAACCTGCAGTGGAGAAAATTCTTGTAAAAAGTTTGAAAAAGTTTCAGAGACCTTAAATGACTTTTGCTGGTTATCAAGTGCAGTAGTTTACTTAATAAAGTGGCTTTCTGAAGTCATTTTACATCTGCTGCTTACACGAATTATACAGGAAGGGGTTATGAATAGTTTTTATATTTACTATATGCTTTATTTAATGCTTTTTTTTCTGACGTTCTGATTTAAAATAATATGCATTCAGCATCCCCTTAGTAAGGCCTGGATTAGTGAAGGGATTAAATTTAAAAAAAGTTTAAAACATAAAATCTTTGGAAGTTAGATGATGTGGGTTCTTCAAAAATCAAACTCTTAAAAATAATAAGAACTCTTCATTTTCTTCTGTTCTCAGTAGTTTAGTTTTGAGTGTGAATCAGTGCATTTCTTTAGCTCTGCAATAAAGTAAATTTAGTGATTGTCAGAGGAACACAAGCGCACCAACATTGCTATATTTACTTTAGATTGAATTTGGCAGCTAGTTCCTCTCAAACTTCATATTTTGTGCACATAAACAGTCTAATGGCACAGTTTATATTGGCCGTCTTTTTTGCTCTTAAATTATAATTCCTATCTATTGAAGTCAGTGGAAGAAGCAAGTTTTTCCTTTGGGGGAGGAGAGGTGAGAAATCAGACTCCTAGTTTTCAGTACAGAATTTTTTTAGAGCTGGAAAATAACTCTGGAGATACGTTAGAATTCACTGAGGGGTGTTTTTGGCAGCTGTTGAAATTAATCTTTGCAGCTGTTGTCCAACAACAACTTTGCAGTCTTCCCATTCCCCTGTAGCTGTCTGCTCTTCTCTGTGTGAATAACTATCCTATCTTTAATGCCCAGGTTATGACTTATTTAGAGATTTCGTGCTGCCTCTTTGGAGCAGTTGGTGCTTCTGCTTCAGCCGTGCTTGACTGGTGTCTGTTTCAGTTAGACTCATGGATGAGATGCTGTTGAATTAAACTGGATCTATTCAAAGGCACAGCTTGCTGCGTGGATAGAATTCTGCAGCTGATCCAGTGTCTGTAACCACATAAAGAAATTAATTTAGCTACTGAGTTCATAAGCTAAAATGATTGTTCTTGAGGTGAACATTGAAAAGTTTGATAATCAACTTTATTATAAGAGTTTAATATATATGATGTATACATATATATATGTATATGTAAGAGTTTGATAGGTAAAGATTTAGCATCCAACATAAGGAAACCTAAAATGTTTTTCTGGGGGGAGAAAATGTTTGTGAGCGCTTGCAGTCATTACTAGAACTGCTTTTGTATGTCTGCATGTACCTCTAATTGTCAGCTTCACCTCACTTCTGTGTTTTTGCTTTTCGACTGTGAGGTCGAAACTGTCTTTAGCATTAGTTGTCCTTTTATACAGCTTTAGTAAAATGAGCAAATTTTAGCTATTGTTTTAATAAAACCCACCACCACATACAGGTTGGGCAGCTGCAGTAATCCTTCTCTGGTTTGGACTCTATGGATGTTCTGCAGAGTCAGCATAATTCTGTTGCTACCAGAATCAAAGTGCAATATGCAGTTTACGGTAGGAAGAAGTATTAATATAAACAGAATTTTGAAAATAAACAACTAAATCATTGCTAATTCTTAATAATTACCTGCTTCTGTGTTCTGCTGCCAAAATAGGATGCCGTCATAAAAATAATCCAGGTAAATTCTCTTTCAGCAGTAATTTGGATCATTGTAATGTTTCCTCCATTTGCTTTGGGGGCTCTTATGGTCATAGAAGTATCTAAGATTAGTAGAAGTGCTGCAACAATATGAAAAGAAATATGTCATGACATGCTTTCATGTCATAACCAAGATAAGCTATTGTATGTGATGGAATGGGCCGATAAACCAGTTAGCCACATATCTAACTTTTTCAACAGAGGTGATTTTTTAACATGTTTTCTTTGTTTGCTGGGGGTGTATTTGTTTATCTGCCTTCCCTGACTGTGGCAAAAACAATTATCTCTTTATGTCTCTTTGTGCAATATCAGAGAGGATATAAATCTGATATTCTGAGTATTACATTGACTAAATTTGAACAATAAGATTACAATAGTCAGCTCTCAGGGTACATCTGCACAAAAGGCTTCCCAGTGGCTCTTAGGAGAAGCAAATCCAGAAAATGAACCAATATTTGGCAAACAACTTTTCTGTGGGCCAACCGGATACTGTCAGGCTTCAACAAGTGAGTCAGGGAGTTGAGCTCTGAAACTTCCTTCCCATCAGGAATCTTCCTACAATTACTTCTGTTTCAGGCTCTTCCTGTGGCCGTTTACATATTTATTTAAGTAACAGTAGCTAGGCTTTGCACTTCATGCTTCATTTATCTTTATGTGCTCTCCCACCACACCAAAAGCCACATTTATTGTCAGGCATACAATGTTGAAGTTGAATACAGAGGATTTGTGTGTATCTACTGCAGGGGATGTGTTGAATACAGGAAACTGGAATTCAGATTCAAGCGTGGAAGTAGTGCTTTTGAGAGAAAGACATGGTTCATAGTTCAATTTATATAGAAAAAAGGATTTTGAATAATAAGTTGACTTGCATACTTCATCAAGTTGTAACTAGATACAGAAATAACCTCAGGCTTGAATTATTTACAGTATTTCTTCTACTTTAGAGGACCATTCAATGAGAAAATACAAGCCCACGTGTACGTCTTGGTAAGATATCAACCTGAAACTTTATATTTCGGTTTATATTTGTCTTTGTGTTCACAGGGGACTACTTGCCCAAATCTTTAGAAGGATTATTTATCTATGAAGAAGAGGGTGCCGGGGTTCCAGGTTCTAACAGGAAAGGAAATGATGCAATAGTTGTTGAACAATGGACAGTCATTGAGGTAAATTGGTGATCATTTAGCAATGCAATTTCCTACTTGTAGTTTTCTTTGTTTTTTTCATTACAATACTTGTACATGTTTGATAAACATGCAGGATGGTTTATTGAAGCCACCTGCAATAAGCTAAACTAAAGCCTTGAATCATAAAAATGAAGTCAGGCCTGTGGCCATTGGTTAATCTGCTTAAAAGAAATATGCCACAGGGATTCTGGCCTGACACTTACAAATGCTCATATCAATAAATACAACTACCAAAGAAAATGTAGGGTTTTTTAAATGTATATGTTTCAGACCAATTTAGATATAATTTCAGCAAGTGCAGCTCCACTGACAATTTCTTAAAAATACTTCAGCACAAAGGGGAAAAAATATCAAAAACTAGAAATAGAACAAAAAGAAATTGATAGTGAATTAATTGAGTATGGTTTTCATATATATACTCTTAGGAAAATTATACTGCTAAATATGGAAGACTTCATTTTTCCTAATTTACATGTACTACTGTCACATGGTACAGCAATAAAATAATTAATTTAAAAAATATTTTAATTGTATAAGATTATTAGTATGAATTAACAGCCTCTGAAAGTAATCATTGTTGGAGAATATTAAGGGCTTACTTTTGAAATATTCAATGATAAATACATTCACCAATGTGGAAAAGAAACAGCATAATACTAAGACATTGATATTTATATATTTATATATATATATATACACAAACAAAACAAAACCAACCACCAAACCCCAAAAATTTAAGTGTATAGCTAGGTGAGATGCTTGTTACTTGAATGAGAAGTAAAAGCCTAAATACATCAACTGAGACACCTATTACAGTGTTTTAAAATTTTTAGGTATTTCTTTAGCAACATAATGAGTTTAACAAGTGAGATGTGCTTTGAATGTCTTGCTGAATCAGGGCTCATACCTGAAGTTAATATGTTCTGTTTTCCTAGTCTTATGTAGCCTTGAACTTTTCAAATTGTTTTCAGTTGGAAATAGTGAATCTCCACCAAACAGCACAATTTCATGTCATTTCATTATAAACTAGAGGGGAGTCGTAATTTCTGTAGAAATGCAAATAAAACCTCTCTTTACTACTTTTTATGATTATTAATGTAGGGGTGTGAAATTAAAACAGATTATGGACCCTTATTGCACACACTGGCTGAGTTTGGATGGCTCCTGACCTGTGTCCTGCCTACACCTATTGTGCGACATGACAGGTACGCAAACAATAGATTACAGCATTTTTGGTCTATACATCTCAGAATTATCAAGTGATTGCTTGTGTTCTTAAATGTACAAGGAAGAAAAATGCTCATGTAATGTTAACTGCACACAAAACTTGAGTTGTAAGAAGCATTATGATGGAGTTCTGATTTTGTTTCCCCATGTTGTTTTAAGAATATCCTTGAGTTTCAAGCTAGACCAATAATCCTAAATTTAAAATATTTTTTTATATCTAAACATTAAAGATTTTATTTAGGGAATTTTTTATCACGTACCCAGTCCCTGGCAGTGGGGCAGCAATGAGGTTACTCATAGGCTTCAAGTTTAAACAATTGTTGCAATGTTTCCCTAATTTAGGACCTTGGTGAATGACTGGTTTAGACTGTGTAAGTGGTAATATTGTCAGCAGAGTCATGCAGTATTTATTGCAAGTTAGGGAGGAGAATGTGCTAATCCAGCAAGTTTTGGGGCTGTTTTTCTTCTTTAATATAGAAGTTTGGTACTATATTTGAAATGAAACATAACTACTGGATTTCAGTTCTCATATTGCAGTATTTTCTTTGTTGACTGAGGGAGCTCTATATACGTTAGAAGAGCTATGTAGCAGACCTGGATCCTCTACAAGGTTTCAGATTTTCATTTTTATAGCCAAAAACTAAAGCTTTTCTTCCAAGTATCAAGCCTAGAAAAGGCAAATGAAACATAAGCATAAACCTATTTTGTCTCTTTTTTGGTAATTTTTTTTTATTTTCCTCCAATTAGATTAAGATTGCCATGGTTAGAAAATAAACAAATGTTCTGAGGCATGGCTTAGGGCTCATTAAGGACAATGGAAAGAGTGGGTGACTTGAGTAATCTTGGGATCCAGACCTCACTGTATTAAATCAAGACAGCATGAAAAATGATGTGAATGAACAGTTCTAAGGCTCCAAGAAAGTGGAATTTTATTCAAGTGATTTGACATAATTAAATAAACCCACCCATGTGAAAAGGACTGTTTTCTGGTCAGGAAATAGGTGTCGGGATTTTTTTGGCTGTGTTTTTCTAATAGTCAAATTTAGCCAGCTGATTAAATGCAAAGACAGAAGTTGTGGGAAGACAATATGGCATGGTCTGGTTTGTTGGTGTTTTTAAGTCTCTGTATGTTTTATTTTCTTCTGAAACTTAAGGAAATCTGAACATGTAAAGCTGCTCCAGAGAGAAGCAGGTTTCAGAATATGAAGCAAAACTGTTATCCTTTAATTTTGTCAAACAAAATTTTGTAGCCTAAGTGTATTAGCTTTGAACATAGTGGCTTCTAAGGGTATGTGAACTGCTGAGCCTGGATTTTATGAACCACTGAAATTAGAGAGTAAACCTGGAGAGTAAACCTTCAGGATTTGGATCTACTTCTTGAAGGACATGAGTGGACAATGAGAGAGAGGTTTTGATAGTCATGGTGCAGTGTGGGTTATAGGATGAGAGAGAGGTTTTAACCTCAAACTTATCTTGTCCCACAAGCATCTAACTGTACCCCCTCCCTGTGGGGTTTGGACAGCAGGGACAAGATTATCTTGAACAGCTGCTGGTCAACCACTCTGAGTATCAGTCTGTGCTTGCAACAGGCAAAATGATGCTATTTTGTACCTTGCAGACTGCACAGCAGAGGCAGGGCCATTTCAAAGAAGCTAAGTGCTGCAAGAAAAAAAAAAATAGGAAAAACTGCTGTAGGAAATGCAAACAGGTTCATTAGACTGGACCTGTTCCTCAAACTAGTAACAAGGTAATATACCAGCAACATACTGAAGTTGCGCTAGATGTCTGAAGCAGCACTGCTTCCTAGATGTGAAACAACCAGCCTGTTAGTAGCTGTGATCACATAAAGGGGATTGTAACACGGCCAAATCTGAAGTGGAATTCATTTTCTGTTACAGAATCACAGAATGATATGGGGTTGGAAGGTACCTCTGGAGATCATCTAGTCCAACCCCACCGCCAAAGCAGGTCCACCTAGAGCCCGTTGCACAGGAACATGGCCAAGCAGGTTTTGAATGTCTCCAGAGACTCCACTATCTTTCTGGGCAGCCTGTTCCAGTGCTCTGACACCCTCAAAGTAAACAAGTTCCTCCCCGTGTTTAGATGGAACCTCTTGACACCCACCCTTTAACTATTTCTAGGTGTTGATCAGATTCCCCCTCAGTCTTCTCCAGACTAAAAAGACCTGAGGTTCCTCATAAAAGAGATGTTCTAGTCCTCCAATAATCTTTGCAGCCCTTGGTTGTGCACTCTCCAGCAGCTCTCTGCCCTTCTTGAACTGGGGAGCCCAGAACTGGACACAGAATAATTCTGACTAATAAAAAGCGTTTTTTCTGGCCTAAAGGGTTGGGTAGGTGTCTGCCCAAATTGTCTAATATTTGTTGTCCTAGTATGGCCTGTGAGATACTTTCAGAAGAAATAGGATGAATCGTGTTTTATCTGCCTGTCATCTATCTAATATACAGCTTTTCTTAAAAAAAAAAATAAAAGAGCCTATGGACAAGAATTCCTAATTAAGAATTCTTAAGAGACCAAAAAAGAATGTGTTTCTATCCTATTAGGCTAATTAGTGATGAATAAATACTATTTTTAGGCATTGATGTTAGCATTTAAACAGGAGAAGAAATTCCTGGATGGTTACTATGTGTCTGATATGAAAGATGCCATTACTGTGGTGGTAGATTATCCTAGGAATGCAAGTTAAATGTCTCAGTGAAGACGGACACTTTATGCTGCTGAACAGCTGTTCTTTTCCCAGACTTGGAACTCTGACCTCAAAACCCATCCTAAATATTAACAGGCTTCAGAAACAGTGAACAAACAAAATGAGCAACATTTTGGGACAATCTGGAAAATCCATGTTTGCATATTTATTTAAGAAAAAGATTTGGGACAAAGTAAAGAAAATTCTATTTAAGAATAAAATGTTAGCAAGACAGCCTGCTCTTCATTTTTATTCACCTTTATATTTTGCTCTAGTCTGTTTTCTTCTATCTATTGCAAAACTTCCATCTTGGGTCTTCTGTGATATGTTCCTAGCCATTATGCCCACTGCTTGTCTGCAGACAAAGTGTGTGACCAGCAGTCTAACAGGTTCTGGGCTGTGACAGGGTTGTCATGCACTGATATGTTCCTGGTTTGGTTTTTACATGGTTAGGATTTGAAACAGTTTTAAAAAGTGCCAGGCTGCAATGCCTGTTCCTGCATGGTTTTGTTGTTGGCTGAATTTTTTCTTTTTTTACAGATATTCTTCTCTATAAAATAAAACGTCCTGTTGCATGGAGTGTCATGCCACATGATAGCTGAATGTCATGGATCACTGTCTCATTTCAGGCAGGGGCAGCACTCTGTAGGTTTCATTTAGTCCTTTAACTCCTACCTCAAGAGCTAAATCATCTTGGATACAGGAAACATTTCCTTGAGAGATGTTATCTTTGCAGTTACAGGTAGAGCAATGGTAGATGTCATATTCTTGAAACACACGGAGTTGCTTTATATGTGCAACGTTGTTTTGAAAAATAAGCACTTTGGGGTTTTCTGGTAGTTTTTTTTTTCAGTCAGCACACTGTAAATCCCACAGAAGTTCCCTCCTTTGTCAGTGATTCTTTTTCCAGGGTTATGGAAAAAATGGGCATATGATGCAATGTTTGCTGTATCCATCTGCCTTGGCTATTTCAATTTTGTCAGCAGTCACTAGATATTTTTTTTTTTGACCAAAAGAGCAGACCAAAAATGAATATAATTCACCCACAAATTATATTAGTGACCCAAAGAGCCTCCAGCATTATTTATAGCTCTTATTTACCTGGCAAATGAACAAGAATTCAGCAATAATTAAGCAAAGTTCAGAAGCCATATATCAAGGATAAAATTAACAGTCCTTTTAGGAGTTAAATCTAGTGACTGGGGGGGAAGTTAGAAAATACTTTGCTGATAACTTACTGCTACTGCAGTTACTGATATAATATTATCATGAGTTTGTAGAATTTCATAAATGTTTGTGATCTAAAATTAGAATTCTTGGTAGGGGGGGAGGTTGGTTTTCTTTTTTTATTAAACAGATCCTTTAAGCTTTTGACTTATCCTAAGCTAGTGTCTGTCTCCTAACTGAAAGCCTAGATGCTGTGCAATTCCAAAGGGGTGTAAAACTTTATTTTGGGAAATGAAAAAAACCCTGAACAAAACATTAAAAGAATTTGTCTTGCTCCTTTTGTTCATTTTTCAGAAAACTTTGTCTAACCTTAAGTGCTTTGTATATAAAATGTTCACACATGAAAAATAGACTTGTAAAAATCTGAGCTATTGGCAGATATAGTTAGCTTCTAGCTCGATGATAGTTTTGGGGGACTTATGAAATAAAGACAGATAATAAGAGGACAGATTCATTGCCCATACAGCATAAGCAGCCAAACAAATCACTGGTGTTTTAACAATAGAGTCTCTGTTGCTCTTCATTCCTCTTTTAAGAAGAGACAGGAAAAAGGCTTCAGCAGCCTTACTCTGCAGTGACCTTTATTTCCCCTTGCTGATTACTGTCATCCCTGAGAATGGGCCAGGCAGGCTGTCTGCGGGCACCGGAAAGCGGGCGGGCAAAAACGCTGACTTTGTGGTTATTAATTTATCATGGCAAACTACTTAATCTGAGTTTGCAAAATGCCCTGACTTAGGAAGCGAAGATGAAATGGGGTGATGTGAGGGAAGCTATGGAGTGGCTTGTTCTAAGCACTTTTTTTCTCATTTAAATTCTGTGGAAATCCCACTGTCATTGAGTTCTTTGTGAATTAAGCTCATAGCTGCTTTGTCGTGTGCGGCATTTTAATAAGGTCAGACTTAGAAAATTGTTAATTTACTTATTGTCTACTCACCATCGTGTCCTTTCTCTGTTCTACTAGAATTTGTACAAGCTGTATCTTAATGTTTGGGTTTTTTCTTTTCTCTGAAGGAATGCAGACACTATTACAAAATAAGCCGTAGGCTTATCCCAATGCCAGGGACTCTGCTCAGCCTTCTTGCTTGAGAGCAATTTCCCAATTGATATTATCAAAACAGACAGAACTGAGGCAGGGAGAGATACCAAGCCAAGTGGAATAAGGTTGCAGGGTTGCTGATTTCCTTGTCATGACATAAAATTGTAGTGCGTTTTCTTTTAATGAAGACAAAAAGTGAGGTAGGGACTCGGAGCAGGAAACCTAGTTAACTTAAGAAAACTAATGAGTCTGTTCTGCTGCCTCCTTGTTTTCCTCACAAGCTGGAGTTTAAGACAGCTCTCTATTCTCATCCAAGGAAGACACAAAGATATGCCATGACCTGAAAGGAAGATTGTGAGGGGCCAAACGCCATCACAAAAGCTTCATCCCTGACTATTGCTTAGATGTAGCTTAGTATGCTGGGAGTAGTGCTGTTTGGTGTACTTTCTGTGCTTAATTCCAGGAGCTCTACTGGGATAGGCTGTTAACAAGCTCTTGCTGATCTCATAGGATTTTTCTTGGAGCAAGTACCTAATGTTACCAAAAAAAAAAATATTAATTCTATCAGTCCTAGCCCTGGCATAACACATGAATCAGTTATCTAAACTTTGTGTGTGGTTGTTAAGATTGTGACATACCCATGCTGAATACAAGCTTACATTATTTTAATAGCTCTTTTCATAGTTTTGTGCATAATAATACTGTTTCATGATTGACAGAATAGATAGAATCATAGATACTTCAAATGAACTCACTACATGTCTCTTGTGTTTATATTTTGCTACTTTTCTTAAGCACGCTTAAATCTTTAACAAATTTTCTCCCAAAGTATTTCAATGTCTTTACTTTATGCATGAAGATCTCATTGAATACTGCCTAGAAGTAGGAGTTGGGGGAAGAGTTTATCAAAATATAACATCTGATATTTAGAAGAGCACAGTAATTTTTTAAACCTTCCTATCTTAGAGCTCTGGTCTTGCTATTCTTGCGCTCTTTCAGTGCCACAGTGTCAGGCTTTGTAGTACATGTGCAACCAATGTGCTGACCTGTATTTCTGATGGAAAGATGATGAAAATAAGTACATAAAAACTTCAAGAGGACATATCACAAGTACTAAGAGTGTAATGCTACTGAAACATCCTATCAGTAACATCTGATTTGGTCTTGAGGAATAACTTTTCACATTTATTTTTCTAAAAGTGTTTCCTTTTGAAACAGTGCTTCTTTCAATTGTATCTACCACAACAGCATCAACATTTGTAAAAGTTCCAGGACTGAAAACTGATGTTCCTCTTTTTTTTTTTTTCCCCTCCTCCTTTATTTATCTTACTGTTTTATTATCTTGTCCTTCATATGCATGTACCTCCCATGTGCAAAACAGCCAGTGTCAGTTATTTCATTGTAGATGTAGAGTTTATAAAAGCTGAGCTGAGTCCTTTTATCCGTAAGTGGTGAGAGAGCGAACTTATGCCGCTGTGTCAGTTAGATGGCATGTTGCAACCAGAAAACACCTTTTAGTTAGCACTAAAGAATGTCACTTCCCAAGTTTCTTACCACAAAATACTGAAATATTTGTTGAAATGGTGGATCTATTGAGATTGGGCCTATTTGTTGTGGCATTAATAGGTAGTGATACATTGCTTTATATTTGATGGTGAAGATTAAATGAAGGACTCTTAGAGGTTTACTTCAGATGTAAAGTTGCAGACTTTGATTAAAAGTAGGAGCTCTGGTGCATAAACTTTCAAGAGCAGACATGTTAAATAACTAATCATAGCAAGAAAATTTTTGTTCTCCACCTCTTTTTATGTGTAACACCTTAACCCAGCTCTGTGCTTCTATTATATTTTTTTTAATGGGATTACAGAACTGTTTAGGAACTAATAAGCCAATTAACACTTGAAGTCTGTCATCTTCTCATGCATGGACTTAAATGTACGCAACTTACTGTTGATTCTGAAAGGTATGAACATGTTACAGGGACTACTATTGCCTTTAAAATATCAAAAAAAATGTCTTTAAATTTTAGTGAAGGAAATCTGGCCACAAAGCAAGTTGTTTTTCTTCAGAGACCTGTTATGTGGAATTCTGCTGTCCAGACACCAGAGGTGAGTAACATGTTTATTGTATTAATATAAACAAATTAGTACTTCACATAATGATTAGGTACAGAAACAATCTAGACTTCCAAATTCATGGTGGAAAAAGTGGCAGAAGAGGGTTTCACTTGAAAAAAGTTCAAGTTGGTGGAGAGTTTTTGTAGCTGAACTCATGATATTTTTTTCTCAGCTACATACCTCTTAAATTAAGCCAGAGAAAAGCATAAACATACTAAAAACCTGTTTTGTGCTAAGGAATTACTGTGTGTCAGTTGGATGAGGTTGTCTATGCTGTAAGTATTTCTTCAGAAGTCTTCAGGAAGTCTTAAATGTTCTGATTCAAATCTTAGACCTGTTGCACATAAAAAAGAAAACATTTTATTTTTCCCTCCAAACACCTACTTTCACACTAGTGGAAGAACACAAGTGTTAAGCTGTGCAAGGGATACTGTAATCTGGAGGTTAACAGGGCTAAAGGCTGTTGGCTCCCAAGTCCTTCTCAGGGCTAGTCCTTATTGATTCTCTGCCCAGCCTATATTTGTGCTTGGGATTGCCCTGACCTACGTGCAGGTCCTTGCTGAACTTCATGAGGTTTGCACAGGCCCACTTCTTAAGCCTGTCCAGGTCCTTCTGGGTGGCATCCCTTCCCTCCAGTGTGTTGACCACACCACACAACTTGGTGTCATTGGCAAACTTGCTGAGGGTGTGCTCAATCCCCCTGTCCATGTCTCTGACGAAGATGTTAAACAGTACTGGTCCCAGTACTGGCCCCTGAGGAACTGGTCCACACTTGGGCCTTGAGCCGTTGACCACAAGTCAAGAGAGTATGAACATCCAGCCAATTCCTTATCCACGGAGTATTCCATCCGTCAAATACATGCATCTCCGATTTAGAGATCAGGATGTGATGCCGACAGTGTCCAGTGCCTTGTATAAGTCCAGGTAGATGACATCTGTTGCTCTCCCCTTACCTACCAATACTGCAGCGCCATCATAAAAGGCTACTAAATTTGTCAGGCATGATTTACCCTTAATGAAGCCATGCTGTCTGTCACAATTGCCTCCTTATTTTCCATGTGTCTTAGCAGAGATTCCAGGAGGATCTGCCCCATGATCTTGCTGGGTACAGAGGTGAGACTGACCAGCCTGTAATCCCCTGGCTTGCTCTTTCTCCTTTTTTAAAAATAGGGGTTATGTTTCTCCTTTTCCAGTCTGGACTGCCACGACTTCTCAAACATGATGGATAGTGGCTTGGTGGCTTCATCCACCAGTTTCCTCAGGACCCACAGATTAATCTCATCAGGTCCTAGAGACTTGAGCACTTTTAGGTTCCTTAGATGGTCTTGAACCTTGTCTTCTACAGTGAGTGGTTCCTCATTCTCTTTGTCTCTGCCCTTGCCTTCTGTGACACTTCCTGGTGCATCCCTACATTTTTAATACTCTATAGTAAGGGCATGGACTCCTGATGCCAATATTCTTTCCTTGGTAAGGTGCGTAATTTCTAGCTATAAGCATCTCTTAAAAGGCAGCATCACTACATGACACAAGTTAGAATGGTGAAAACTGGATTCTGTCACGAGACGTAATACAAACCAGTTCTTTTAAAACGTTCAGTCTGAGGAAGTGATGAATCTTTGAGAAGTAGTTTAAATTAAAAATAGGAAGCATTATGCTCACAGTTTAAATTTTGTCACAGAACTGTGAGCTGATCAGCAGCTGAATGACCTTTACATTCTTTGGTTTATACAAATAAGACAGGTTGTATGTTTTGCAGTCATTGTTTTATGTTGTTGTAACAGGAAACCTTTGACTTTGGCATTAACACACTGCAAATAGACAAGAAATACTTGATTTGTAGCCACTTACATCAGGATTACAGTGTTTAGAATCTGAACAAACTTAGTATCTAAATGTGCTCATTAAGTACCAGTGAAAGTTTTACTTCTCCACCAGGAAATTTCAGTAGGCTGAGGTCATTTTAGCATGGGATAAATAGGTAGGTCAGGCTGAAGCTGAAACATTTAGCAGAGTAACATTTTCCTTCTGTTTTTCCAATTATGTTGTTTTTCTCCTAAATTTTAAGCTTTTTACTTCAATGCTTTTTTTTTTTAACCAAAATGTCCGAATTAGTGAACAGTATATTACCTTCATTACAATTGAAATTTATAGATTTGTTAGTAATACCCAATTGGTATAGAAGGTCATGCTAGCTTTGCATTGAGTAGCTAGATCTCAGGTGCAAAACAAGCTCCTGAAATCTGACAGCATTGACATTTGCTTTAGAAATTTTCATATGTTTATTTAAAATGTCCCTTGGGACAGTGATGACAGAGATGAACAAATCTATCAAATGCAAACATTTCAGTAAAAATATTTAATTCCTATGATTCTATATTATTGGGCATGACATTTTCACTTATACTGCGTATCTTTTCATTGGTATTCAGATTATACTAAAGCTGTTTAAAAAAATTTCATGTCCACAACTTAGGATGTTGTTGAAAGACAGAAATACTTAAGACCTCTAAAATGTTTTAAGTTCTTAAAGAGCATAAACAGATACAATTATTTTTTTTTAAGCATAGTCTTAGCATGTTTGAATCTCAGAGACCTCAAGAAGAATGCTACCTATGAGAGAGTAAAAATAGAAAATCAATAAGAATCTTTAGTTAACTGAATCTTAATAAGAAAGCAGCCTCATGCAGCCCTTCTCCAGCACTTAACTACCACGTCCCCAGAGCCCTAATCACATCACATCACATTCCAGCTCTCCAGAGCAGGGTCTGGCCATGGCAGGAGCTTTGCCCCAGAGGCAGGTCCAGCTGTTTGGAGCTCTGTGACTTGCATTCTGGAAAATGACAACACTGAGTATGGGTTGCTTTGTGTAGTTGGGACTACTTTTTTTTTTATTTGTTGGGTTAAAATTAGCATTGCCATTTCTAAAAAGTTTTGCTTTTGTATGAATTGAGAGGGGAAAACCCTGTTACCTGGTCTCTTACACCCCTCTCAGAAAACAGACCCCGTGGGAATATTTTATGTCCTCACAGCTCATCTCTTTGCCACCTTGTATATTCATGGGATAGTGCATTATGGCCTGGCTTATGATTTATGTAATGGTTCAAAGGCTTCTTGAATTAGAAGAGTGATGCTATCTCATTGGGTTCTTTATCACATACTGTTTGTTTTTTGAAGGAAACGGGTAAGAAGAGAAGATTCAAGATTGAACCACACAGTGTTTGAGTTTTCTGGGTTTTTTTCATTTGTCTTTTTTTTTTTTTCTCCTTTATTTCCCTTAAGCAGACTTCTCCATCCTCTTACTGTGGCATCCAGGCAAAGATTATTTCCTTCTGTTTCTCCTGAGGCAACACTATTTCCCCTTACTCTTAATTTCCCAATGTATCCTGTAACAGCTTCTCTAAATACGTTTCCTTTAGCCACAAGGGCCATTGTTTTTACTGTTTCAAAGGGTTTGAGAAAAAACTTAGCAATGTATAGAAGGGGGGCACAGAACTTGTCAGGGCATGGCAAAAGCGGTTGTGAGGTGTTACTGTTTTTAAAGATTTTGTGCAAATCCCCCTGTGTGAGTGTGTGTGTCTCTTACCCACTGAAACACAGCTCTGTGCTGAGGCTGGATTCCTTCTTAGCTGGATGTCCCCTGGCAAAGCTTCTCCTGGTGTAGCAATGCTTGTGCTGGCAGCAAGGCTTCAGGCAGAGAGCCAGGGTGCTTCCCCCAACCACGTTCTTCTGCTGTGACTCGAGGCACTGACACTGCCTCGGGAGGTGCTGCATCATCCCAGAGCTATCTGAGTAGCTTGGGTAGCTCCTGATGCTAAAATGAAATAAACCTTTTATTTGTTTGTGATGCCTCAGAGAACCCTCAGCATAGCCGGATAGGTCTATTGTTTGCACAAATCACAATCTGCTTTCTTCTCCTTCTTGATATTTGGCAGCCATCACTTCAACAAGAAGTAAGTCAGGAGGTATGTCAGTATGGTAGAGGTGTATGTTAGGCATAAAGAGAAGGCTTTTCTCAAACAGCTGATTTTAGCATAGTTTAAGATTTGTGAATCATTCCAGAGCTGCCAAGCACTACATAAGAATCAAACCCTGCTGGAGTACTTTTTCTGGGCATTTGTTCTTAGTTGAATCTTGACTATGTTTTATACCTTTTTTTGTCTCTCTTGAAACTTATTTATAGAGAGCAAAAAATGTCAGAGGCTTTTTCTTCAGAGGAGTTCATAGATTAAACTGGAGTGTTAAATACTGCTTTATGTTAAAATTCAGCTGGTATTAAATCCATGTGTGACTTGTTACAAGGCGTTTTGCTTTTTTTTTTTTCCCCCCTAAATAAGTTAACATTTAACCATCTTCTTGTATTTCAGAAGAAATCCTTAAGACAAATTATTGGAGAGGAAAAAGGCAAAGTCTCTAGCAGAAGTGTTGGATTAGACACAGCTACTTCTCGCCCTATAGAAATTGGTCAACCACCTGATGAGTTTCACCTATCTTCTTCTAAGCAATGTTGGATCAAGGAGGGATCCTCCCAGTATGGAGGCTTTCCAGGATTCAGTAGCAGTGATGGAGTATTAAGGGAACTGGATGATGGACAATTTGACCAGGAAGATGGAGTCACTCAGGTCACGTGTATGTGATAAAGTAAGTAACTGCATCAGATGGACATGTACATAACTCACACAAATGTTTTGTTGTTTGTTTTTTTTAAATCATACTACTTTAAATGCATTGGTATAATCTTACAATTTTTCTTAAGACTCTTTTTGTATTTTTGTCTGTTTCTTTGTTGTGTTAATCCTACTGTAGTAATAATACTACTGCAAAATAATTCGGTTTTCTGTCTCTCTTTAATAGAACAACTGCATGACTGGGTGCTCTGCTAACTTGTTAATGCTTTTGACAAGCAATGAAGCAAATGCTGCAAAACAGTGACAGTTTGAATTGTGTAAGAAAGGAATTAAGATGTTTAGTATTTTCCACAAGCTGGAGGAGTACTTGATTTTGTGTGTTTGTTTTTGTTTGTTTGTTTTAAAGGGTGTTGTAAATATTGGTGAGGGGAAAAAATGAACTATCTGGCTGTTGTTAAGTTTTAATGTAATTTTCACTTTGCCTTGCATAAACTCAAAAGCCTAGAGAAATGTAAGTCTTAGACTAGAGTGTTAATAATTTAAGGTATGTTCAGACTTGGTACCTACAGAAAACCTCTGGAGGCTGTAGGCAGACACTTCCTCCTGTAATATTACTTCACCTACACAGGTTTTTCGTACGAGGGTTCCTTGTGCATGTGAGCCAAAAGCTATCTGAGCACGTAGCTTGTGTCATGACGTATTCATTATTTACTTGTGAGAGGAAATAAAGAACCACTCATCCTCTGAAAGTAACTTGCAGCCTGTGAAAAAGTATTTTGCAAAACTCACTAAGAAGCCTTGACAGCAAGGTGCACAATGGTGCTGATAATACACAGGAGGAAGTAGTAGATTAAATTTAATAGGCAATATTAGGTGATGGACTATATACAGATATGCTGATAAATACATAAAAAATTTCTCAGCTAAATGTATCTCACACTGGGTCAAGCGTATTCAACTGTGTCAAATACCAGAAGGAGTGTTCAGAGGAAAGGCTGAAGCTTTTGTGCTTCCATCCTCACCGTGGGGAGGAGTTGCTGGTGTTGGGGAGGCTGGCACTGGCAGGGCTCTGTGGGGACAGGCATGAACAGGAATTATTTTTATGCTGCTGTGTTGAAATAACATTTTACAGAGGAAAAGCTGGATAAAAATGCATTTGCGACAGATAAATGTGATTCTAACTAAAAATTGCGGTTTTCCATTAGTTTTAGAAGCAAAAGCTATAAATGCTTGCCACAAGCTAATGGAGAATAATTTGGTCAAAAAAAAGAAATCGGAACAGAACTGGGCAAATGAATCCCCAAGACTTCTCTCGGTGTTTGCAGTACAACACACAGAGACAGGCACTGCAGACGTGAGAGAATTGTGACTACACTGAACTGCAGCACCCTGCTCCCCGCTGCGGTGTCCCATCACCCGGGTGGGAGTCCCTGGGCACAGGGGTGGCTGCTGGCACTACGGGCAGTGGGCAAATCAATGCAGTGACAGGAACACTGAGAACTGACCCCAAAGGAGCACCCTGGGAGACGAGCAGGGGGTGGAAGTCGCTGTGGTCTGTGGCGGGGGGAGCTGTGCAGGAAAGAAGCTGCTTATTTCAATAAGCAAAAAGTAACTCATGAAAGAAAATAAGTTGCATTTGTTTTGATAAGCGAATGTAGTACAAAGCCTTAGTGCTATTTCAGTTTATTTTTACAAGGTAGGGCGGAGCAGGGGAAACCCTTTCTACTTTGATTGTCATTGTAGGAGCATGAAATGAGTGTTGCTCTGGAGCTGCTTCCCAGTTTCATTATGAAATTGTCGTAGGCAGGCTTGTTTATTTTTCCACTTTGGAAGAGCAACTCTAACAACTGTTTGTAGCAGGTTTGGGGTTTTCCCACCCCCCACCCCCCCACCTCTAAAAAAATATCTACAGCCCTGGAGCTGGAGACATCCCTTCAGCTTCTTTTTCCTATTGCACATTGCTGAAAAGGGCAGCTTCTATTTTCTTGCTTGAATTTCTTTGGAAAAATGCTGGCAGCCTGGCAAAGCCATTGTGAATTATGAGTGTTTTAAGAGCCAAGTATGTGCCAGCAGGGCAGCACAGGAGTACCTGTGGTAGTAGGCATGGTCAGGAATCCATTCTTCCCAAGGCTTCTCTCCCTGCTTTCCCTCCAGCATCTCAAGGTCACAGATGGTGGGGCACGAACCTCATGTTTGTTCCTTGTCTGGGGGCACCACATGGAGGAGGGTCACCCCACCAACGGGGGTTCTCATGCAGCCCACGACTCTGTGAGCCACGGGTCATGGTCAGGCAGTAGCAGGAATCTCCTCCCTGGTATGCAAATGTGGAAAAAATTATGAAAATACATGTTTAGTCTGCCTCTGGCAGAAAGACATCCAACTGGCATATTATAAATGGGATAACAGCTGGTTTATGGAAATACGTTGCACTGCTTCTAGAAGTCTTTTTCACCAGTTTTCTAAAACTCTGGTGTGTGTAATTTTATGGTCAAACCTGTAAAAGCGGCAAAAAATGGTCAAAACCCCTAGGAATTCTGAATATTCCAGGTTAGAGCTCATCAGTAATTTCTTTGATGTACTTTCTTTTATAAAGCAGTGTCCCTGCTTAAGATGATTAACACTAGTGAATCCTAAACCAAAACTGAACTACAGCTATTTATATAACAAGTTACAATGTGTAAAGTACTAAATTGAATGCAGTTATTCTTTTCCAGAATATATTTATGAGATAAAAAGAATCATTTAACTTTTAACTGAGATCTCTTCATGTCAGCTGTTGAGAATGCAAAAAAATTGCAATAAATTAGTATTTTTTTGGAAGAACTTTTCCTCTTACAAATAATGGGATGTACACAAAGGAGATTCTGTTTGGGAACAAGGGTAGGAATTGAGCATGCTCTGGATGTCCACAGGAACACTCTAGAACATCTCCACTTCTAGCAGGAAAGGCTTTTCTTCTTAAAATGAAATACAGCCATATTCTTTTTCAGGGCCCACAGTTTTAACTGTGCTTTAGTCCTTGCTCTGCCATCTCACAGGTGTTGACTGGGCTGCAAACTCCTGTGAATTTCTGTCTGGTTTGGGGGGTTTTTGGGGGGTTTTTTGTTTTTTATTCAGTGTAAATACGCTCAAGTGCTTCCTCTGAACCCACTCAACGGTTCCTATATAGTTAGGGACAGCTTTTTATTTTAATGCCATTTGTCTCACAGTATGTAAAGTTGCCCCTGCTGTAGAAACATTAATCTCAGTTGTTTTTCTAGCTCTCTTGTCTTTCACCTCACAGGGCTACATTTAGGCTCCATGCAGTAGTTGAAGAACACAGAATAAACCACCCGCTGAATCAGAAATAATTGAAAATGCTTCTAAAACAAATGATGGAACATCTAATTCTTCCTTTGTAGTTAAAAATTCTTACTTGCAAAAGTGCACTTATTTATTCAATAATAGGGCTTCAATTAGAAGTGTGTGTGTCTGAAATGTAATAGAGAAGCCCCTTACCTGTGTGTGACAAGAGAAATGCCCTGCAACTATTAGAAGAGAGACAGAAGGCAACCAACCCTGTTCATGAACTTCTGTAAAAGACTGTTTATACTTTAAGTTGCTTGGGGAGGAAATACTCTTCTAGTGTTTACAAGTAGGGAGGAACTCTCCACTGTAAAAAGAATTTTGTGCCCTGCTCATAATTGTCACAACAATTTATTTACATACCTGGTCAACTGCGACAAACTGCTGCTTAACTTCTGTGATTCTGGTCTGTAAAATAATTGTTTTCTTTTTGTAAAGCCAAGATCTTTTCTATATTTCTGATAGGAAGCTTCTCACCATTAAAAGCACTTACCAAATCAGCTACCAGTTTCTTTATTATGGTTGTCTCCCACTGCCATTAACTGAGTTAGATGAACTGCTTTTTTGCAGACACGTGTACATCTGTACATCTTACAAGGCAAAGCTTGTTAGACTTACAGCCCTCTTTTAAAAGCTGGTTAGGTTTTCCTTGTTCTTAGTATATTAATCTCTCAAAGGTTCAAGGTGCAGGTTGCTGTCTTGACAATTCCCTATGGCTTAATTTAGAGCGTAGCATTAGTTGGGATTTAGATTTTTTTTTTCAAAACCAAATTCCTGTATCGGAATTTGGACAGCAGGTATAAAGGTAAAGAAGTGAACATTCCTGACTTCAAGTAAGCACTCCTTGAAAGAGACAAAGTGTTTTAGAGGAACTGGTCTGGTGACATATTCTGATTTGTTTAAGCAGATGAACTTTGACAACATCTGAGAGAATGGAAATCTTAAAAGGGAAGTACCAAAATCACTGTGGCCGACTTGTTGCAAGACGTGCTAATCCAAACATCAGGAGAACCTCAGTGACGAACAGAAAAGTCATTTGAAGCACCCTTTGCTTACAATACGCCCTTGCCTCTGTGACGTGCTGTCATCATGTGCTCATTTGGGTATCTGAAAGGTTCTCTTCTCAGCTCCCCTTACTCTGTAATTGTAGAACCAGCATTTTCTGATTGGAGAGATGTATAAATTTCAAGTCTGACTTCAAGGTACTAATAAGTATTGTATTTCTGTACTTTTGAAAGAAGAAATACACCTTCACTTCAGTGCATCTTGTAGCAGAGGAGGGAGAGCACCACACTCTCTCGGAAGCACTCGGTGCCTGCATTCTTGGACGACAGGAAAAATGAGAATCACTTACCAAACTATAGCGGTATGGATAAAGAAACAGTTTAATTTCATCCTTTTTTTGCTTACAATAGAATTCAAAGACAGTCTCAGTTTCCCTATTATGTAGAGTCTAAATTAAACCTGTTAATATTTATTAGACAAATCAATGGTTTGCTTAGGCTAACTGAAGTTTTATGGTACCATTCAGGCACATGTGTGTACACAGTACTCATGTAAACAATAGCAAGGGAAAATACAAGCAGTGTTTCACTTTAAGCCTTATATAAAACCAGCTTAGTAGAACAAGTCAACTTTACAGTGCAAATCTGAATGAGAATAAACAGGATTAAAACTTCCCAAGTTTTGTTTTGAAGTGAAACTCTTAAAGCAAAAGAGGAAGAAAAGAGGTTGAAAATTTTAATGCAGTCCTGAGCACCACATCATTATTTTTTTTCAATTTAGTAGAGGAAATGTAATTAGCAACACCTGTTACATGTTTTTGCCCATCTCAGTCACCACGGCATGTAAGCACGCGGAGCGACTGTAGGAAGAACCACACCGTGGATGGTCCAACAGCAGCCTGTAACAAGACTAAATACATTTGACTACCTCCAGTACTCCACTCCTCCCACCTGCAGTACACGCTTCAAGACACCTCTTGAAATCAGGTAACCTGCTCTATACAAGGCAAGTTTATAGCTAACTCTATAGACAGTAACTACAGCTACTTCCCACTCGGACAACATCTCGTGCAATTACCCTGCTGACAATTAAATACAGTGCTAAACATGAGACACAAAGAGCTGCTGAAGAATACAGCTGCTGAAGTACTTAAGCTTAGTCTCTCTATTTTCTCATTGTTTAAATTCCGTTTATACCCAGGTGGTACAGTTGCTTGAGGTGTGCTTTATTTTATGTAAAGAAAAGTAGCATTTAAGGCATGTTTAGTGTATTATGAAAAAAGACTTAATAAAAATAGGTGGACACCTGTGTTTCCAAGTAAGTATAATGTAGAAAACAAAGTGTAGAAACTAGCTGAGTTAGCCCGTTCTGAACTGCTTAAAGAAATAAAAAGAGGGTCCCTGGCAATCTCAGAGAAACAACCAGCTAACATCTTAAACAGCTAAGCAAAATTCTTTTACCATAAACACTGCTAGTGCTTCTAGACCCTGCATTCATGTACACTTAGCAGTATGTCTGCTGTATTCATCTCTAAAACATTTAATTCTATCATTCTAGACATAACAGAATTAAGCAGCACTCATGGAAATTGTCAGTTATTGCAAATCTGCAAATGCAACTTGAAATAAAGATCTGATAGGGAAAGGAAGCATGAATCCACATTTTTCTGTCAAAGAATATATTTCAGGTGAATGAATAAAACACATTAACATATATTGAAATCATGATTAAGTCTTGCAGAGAATCAGGTTTGATATTTCAGGTACTTAGAATGTTTTTACTGGGAATACAAGCAAAGACAGTGCTACAGTGTTATGTAGTGTAACGTATATTTAGGTGAGGTATAATCTGTAAGCAGTTGCCATAAATACGCACAGGTATAAGCCATTGACTTTTCTGCCACAGTTATTCTTTAGAGAAGTTGTGGACTGGAGAACAGCAGAAGTCTGCCTTAACAGGACAGAACCTGTCCCCTGTTGTACACAAACCTCTACTGTTAACAAAAAAAGAAGTTCAGAAAGTATGTTAGATGTATATCAAGAATATATATGTTCAAGAGCATAGTGAAATTGTCCTTTTGGTATTACTAATACTATAGATCCTATTAGTATTTGGATATACTCAGTGGAATATGCACATCCAAAAGTAAATATTCAAAGCCATCTTAAAAAAATAAAAGCTAAATTAGGAATAAGCTACGTTGCAAGAAGCTTCCTGCAGAACTATATATTTAAGGTGATAATCTTTGAACTAAGACTTAATATCTACTGCATTCAAAAATGGCTTGCTGTGAAATCTTAATCTCACTTTTCTCCCACCCAATCAGACACATCTTCAGGATTGTGATTCAATGATTGTTTAGCAGCAATTTTAGAGAACTGTAAATTCTTTTATTAACAGGCATTATAAACAGATACTACTACTTTTATTTAAAAACCATGAGTGCCACATTGATGAATATACAGCTCATGAATAACTTAAAAGTATTTCCCATATTAAAAGGCAATGCACACAGCATACAAAAAGTATACTAAACAAAGCTATGAGGATACATGATTGAAGTGTCTAAAATGATATATACAGTACATAATGTTTTGTTTATATTCAGTACAGGCTCCTGTACTGCCCTTCCCATCATGCCTCACTCTCCCCTGACACTGAATTTTGCACTTCTTCTTCCAAAATTGGTACAATCAGGTTATCCTTGGACATCAGATTATACTTCATCACGAATTTAGTGAACCGGTGACACAAGAAAGTTTCATTCTGGAGATGAAAAAAAGGGGAAAACACAATATATACAGAAGGAATATTTTAAACAATTGAGGAGAACATACTAAAAAAAACCCCACTGATTATATGTAACTGCCTCATTAGATTTACAAGTCTTAGAATATAGTAGTAATGCTTAAATGGTAAATTTAATTGTAAAGTTGTTACTGCAATTGACAAACCTACTGAAGCTCAAGCTGAAGTTACAGCTCAATTCAACAGCACTTAGACAACAATATAGTCAAGAATCAAGGTAGTCCTGATCTACTCTCCAAAAGAGAAGTGTAGGGCATTGTGAAACTCCTCCTACATGCACTATCCCCAACAGAACAGGGCACAACCATTCCACAGCTGTTACAGCAACCACAAATGGGATTTGGCAAGGGTTTCCTTTTACATTCAGTTATAGCCCTTATCTCATTTCTTTCTACAAATTTCTACTTTTCCATTTAAAAAAAATAATAATTGGAAGTTACTGGTGCACAAGCTGCCACCAGTTATTCTGTTTATTTGCAGTTTTACAATTATAATTCCTTAACTGTTGTGTAACGGATACAAACAGGAAATGTGTACATAAACAGTACTAACTATACCAAGTGCTTGAATACATTCAGGAATCTTTAAAACAAGATGAATTTGTACAAAACCTCTCAAATTCTGACCTTTTATCCAAATGAGGGAAACCATAACTGGGTAAACTAATTATATAAATTAATTTTTGTTTATATAGATGTATGCATAATACGCATTTCAACTGTAATCTACTATAATCAATACTTCACTTGAATGCAGCTCTTCTGGCAGGATTAAAAGAAAATGCGTAATATAATTACATCACAGCTATAACTTCAGTAAACGCCCTTCTTTCAAGATGTAATTTGAAACTACTTACTTCATATTCATCAAATATCTGCCGGTGATGAAAATAAGCATGTGAAAATATTCTGTAAATCCTTCGGCACACTGATCCTAATTTGGCTACAGAGGATTCCTTTATGCTAACCCTGTAAGCATCAGGAGAGAGGTTACAAACCAGGTCTGCCAAAACGACTCCCGAGACACTTGTTGACATGAATTCCCATTGTTAATACTCTACTATATAATTGCATGTGAAAATAACAGACTTAAGTGTTGCAGGTATCTGTGTCTGCGATTGCTTATTTTTGCAACAAAAATTAAAATTTTGGTGCACACTTCACATTTAAAGATTGTACTCTGACTATAAGTTTTGCCTGTAGTTAATGGAGTAACAGTTACAGGCTGAATTTCTGGTTTCTAGCATTGGTGGGCCAAGGGAAGAAGAACAACTCCTTGCCAATACCAGATTCCTAGAGAAGCACAGGTTCGACTTCTCCAGTTAGGCTTCCATGGCCCAGCATGCAGGCTGCCCACTCAGAACACTCAGTCTCTGTCTTTTGTAGTCACTGATGTCCCACAGAAGATTGGTGTTGGCTTCTGGAGGCTTTCAGTGCCAAAGTGTTTTAAATCCTTTGAATCACTGCGTATCTCTAAAGGCCATCCTGTTATTTAGGTTAGCATCACACCAACAGAAGCCCCATGACACCAGCAGGTACTAAACTTTAGGTTTCCACCAATACCTCCAGTAAATGGCAAAGTATTTGAATAGGCAGGAATTCTTCCTTGGCTTAAAAGTGACAAGAGCTCTACCAACAAGTGCCACATGCTGCAGGACTTCTGATATTTCCAGTAGTAGCCCATGAAA